GGGCTCTACATTTCTTTTAAGGAAAAAAGAGAATAGGTGGTTTTACTTTGAAATTTTTTCCTTTTTTCTCCCCTTTGCTTTGAAATTTTAAAAAGTATTTGCAAATAAAGTTTTTCTCTTAACAGTTAGTTTGCAGAAGTAAAGACAGTTTCAATATGAGGTCACAGAGGACAAAGCCAACTGATGGAATGCTAAGTTATTAGTGTTTCATATTTTCCTTATCAATTAGCATTCCCTACACTGTCACTTTATTTATTATTATTTTTATCCTCACCCAAGGACATGTTTTCATTGCTTTTTAGCGAGAAAGGAAAGGAGAGAGGAAGGGAGAGACAGAAACATTGATGCAAGAGAGAAATATTGATCGATTGCCTTCTGTATGTGTGGCTGGACTAGGGACCAAACCCACACAACCTTTTGGTCATGGGATGATGCTCCAACTAACTGAGCCACACTGGCCAGGGCCCTACACTCACTTTAAGGGGTCAATGAAAAATTGTAGAATTAGGTCTCAATAACTACTGAGGCTGGAAGCTTTGTGTTTAAGCACTTTGCCTCTCAAGCCTGTACTGTAATTTAGTAACTCTATGACCTTTAAAAGATTACTTCAATCCTCTGAACCTGTTTCCTCATGGGGATAATAACAGTACTTATCTCATAGAGATGTTGTGAAAACTTATAAAGAGGTTATAAACAATGCCTGGCATATAGCAAGCACTCAATACATAATAATAACAATCATAATAGATAACACTTTAGTAGATATTACTCTATGCCACACACTGTTATAGAAACTATATATGTTAACTGTTAGCTATTAATATAACTGATGCCTATTTCAGGATTTAGCTTAGTAAACTATGTTTCTGCTTCAGAAGCAGACAGGAGAGATAGAAGCAATTTATTTTCCTTAAAATTTGTTGCATACTTTCCAAGTAAAGTCACAAAGACTACTTTTCTGCTGGCAGAGAAAAGAAGACATGGAAGGGTTTTAAAGGATATACAAGGTCTGTCCAGAAAATATCCAGCCATGTATATAAAAAATAGAGACATTTCTTCTATAGAAAAAGAGACACATATTCTTCTATAGAAGAAGAAACAAGATACAGGAAACATTGTACATAGGACAGTTACACCTCAGTCCCCTTCAAAGTAGGTGCCTTTGGGACCTCACACATTTCTCCCAACAGCAGCATGAAATTCCTTCTGCTCTGGCAGCAGAAGCTGCAGAATGAATTTTGCCACAACATGTTTCATGCCAAGATCCTGAGTCAAAATCTTGGACACAGTAGTTTTTGGAATCCCCAGATTAGCTTCTGGTTCTTGTACTGTTAGTCACTATTCTTTGTTGATGGCAGCCTGTACATGTTCAACATTCTCAAGTCTTCAACCTGTGTTTCAGACCTTCCAGAACACAGATCACTTTAAACAGATTTTTGACCATCTTTGAAGCATTTGTGCCACACTTTTATTTGCGGTACATTTATTGCATTGTCCCCCAAAGCCTTCTGAATCACCCAAACAGTTTCCACGGGATAAAGTTTCAAGCTTAATGCAAACTTTGATGCAGATTCATTGCTCTAGTTGCTCAGTCGTTTTGAATGTGAGGGCCACACAGTGCACATGTTCACTAAACAGTGTATACCACCCACACTGACTAGTACAGTGAAGTTGTTGTTGTTCATGCATGTGCATTCCAGTCCACTCTCCTTGGCTGCCAGGTTACATCAATGTCGCACAAACTATTCTGGTTTTATAACAATGGATGGAGTTTTTCTGGACAGATCTCATATACCCATATCATTTCCTTTTAATAGCAGAAGCTGAGGTATGTGCTATGCAGTTGGGCTCTTTAGCAGAAATTAAGAGTTAGCAAGAATTATTACTCAGCTGGCATGCATTTTAAGAAATCCTGAATCATGCTGAATCAGCATTTTAGTTGGTCCTCTCTCAGGACATTTAATACTTTCTTATGGCCCTTGTCATCCTACAAGATGAAGGGCAAAGTGCATGTCTTAACTGGTCACCTTTGTAACCACTGCAGTGTTCAACACTGTACCTGGGTAAGTCTGAATACTGGAAGGGAGGAGGGGGATAAAACACATTTATGTGGAATGGAAATGTAATAGGAACCTCTTTCTTCAAATGCAATTGGAAGTTTATCTTTTGAGTGGGTTGGCTTTTTTCTTATTTTCAAACATCTCTAATGAATAGGTGTACCAAGGGCATATCCAGGCAACATGAGTCACTGCAGTTAAATTTCATCACAGACCTTCTCTGGAGACAGAATGCCTCATGATCAGTTTGGCTCTATTAATAATAGTCATTACAGAAAGCTGGAAGCCAGGTAGAGAAGAACCATTAGCTGTTACTGCTTCCAAAGCCAAACAGCAAAGACCATATTATGTTTCTATTCCTTCTACTAAAGTCTTTTAAATTTTTAAAACCTGTAAAAGAATATTATGTCCAGTATCTGATGACTTCCAAGATGGAGGCATAGGTAGTCGCACTGTGCCTCCTCGCACAACCATAACTAAGGACAAGAAAAATTTACAAACAAAAAAACAACCAGAACAGAGAGAAATGAACCGAACGGAAGTCCGACTACCATACATCCAGACCAATAAGGGGAGGCGGGGTCCAAGGCCTACAGAGAGGGGTCGAGGGGTCCCGGCAGGAAAAAGCGGCAGCTGGCAGACACGGGCGCACAGGGGGCAGACAGCAGTTGGCTGACCCCAGAAGCGCAGGGGCAGCTGCTGGACTGGTGGCAAACCCTGGGTGTGGGAGGCAACGAGCAGACCCAGTGAGGCTTGCAAGTCTGCAGCCACACATTCGCGTGCAGACAAACCAAGCAAAATTGGGCAGCGACACAGACCTTGCAACCCAGGTACCCAGCTGGGAAACAAAGCCTAAAGGCACCGATTGAAAACACCTGTGGGAGTTGAGGCCAGGAGATTCTCTGAGCCTCACAGGAGGCTCCTTGGGGAAACCCACAGAGTCCGAGAAAGTACACAGGCCCACCCGCCCAGGAGCCAGCACCAGAAGGGCCCAGTTTGCTTGTGGGAAGCAGGAAAGGGGACTGAAGTCCTAGAGAGAGCGAAGCAGGCACCATTGTTCCCTCTTGGACTCCGCCCCCGCATACAACATCATGACCCAGCGGCTGGGGTGCCCCGCCCTGGTGAACATCTAAGGCTCTGCCCCTCATACATAACAGGTGCAACCAGACCAAAAAGGAAAAAATAATAAAATAAAATAAAATAAAATAAGGCTCAAACAGAGCCAGTTTTTTTTAAGCAACCGAGAGATAGCCAACCTATCAGATGCACAGTTCAAAGCATTGGTGACCAGTATGCTCACAGAATTGGTTGACTTTGGTCATAAATTAGATGAAGAGATGCAGGCTACGATAAGAGAAATGAAGGAAAATGCACAGGGAACCAACAGTGATGGAGAGATAACTGGGTTTCAAATCAATGGAAGGGACCAGAAGGAGGAAAGAAACAACCAAACAGAAAAGAATGAAGAAACAAAAATTCAAAAAAATGAGTACTGGCTTAGGGACCTCCAGGACATCTTTAAACATTCCCACATCCGAATTATAGGGGTACCAGAAGGGGAAGAGGAAAAACAAGTAGAAAAGTTATTTGAACAAATAATAAAGGAGAACTTCCCCAATCTGGCAAGGGAAATAGACTTCCAGGAAGTCCTGGAAGCTCAGAGAGTCTCAAAGAAGATGGACCCAAGGAGGAACACACCAAGGCACATCATAATTACATTTGCCAAGGTAAAAATGAAGGAGAGAATTCTAGAAGCAGCAAGAGATAAGGGGACAGTTACCTATAAAGGAGTTTCCATCAGACTGTCAGCTGATTTCTCAAAAGAGACCTTACAGGCAAGAAGGGGCTGGAAAGAAATATTCCAAGTCATGAAAGGCAAGGACCTACATCCCAGATTGCTCTATCCAGCAAAGCTCTCATTTAGAATGGAAGGACAGATGAAGTGCTTCTCAGATAAGGTCAAGTTAAAGGAGTTCATCATCACCAAGCCCTTATTTTATGAAATGTTAAAGGGACTTATCTAAGAAAAAGAAGATAAATATGGCCCTGGCTGGCATAGCTCAGTGGATTGAGCGCGGGCTGTGAACCAAAGTGTCGCAGGTTCGATTCCCAGTCTGGATACATGCCTGAGTTGCAGGCCATGACCCCCAGCAACCACACATTGATGTTTCTCTCTCTCTCTCTCTCCCTCTCCCTCTCCCTCTCTCTCTCTCTCTCTCTCTCCCTACCTACCCCTCCCTCCCTTCCCTCTCTAAAAATAAATAAATAAAATAAAAAAAAGATAAATATGAACAGTAAAAAAAAGACATCAAACTCACAGTAACAGCCATACCTAAAACAAAAGCAAACTAAGCAAACAAATAGAACAGGAACAGAACCACAGAAATGGAGATCACATGGAGGGTTAGCAACAGGGAAGTGGGAGGAGGAGAGAGGGGGAAAGATATAGAGAATAAGTAGCATAAACAATAGGTAGAAAATAGACAGGGGGAGGGCAAGAATAGTATGGGAAATGTAGAAGCTAAAGAACTTATGACACATGGACGTGAACTAAAGGGGGGAATATGGGTGGGAGGGGGTGGGCAGGGTGGAGGGGAGTGAAGGGGGAAAATGGGACAACTAATAGCATAATCAATAAAATATATTTTTTAAATGTTAAAAAATAAATAAAATCTTTAAAAAAAGAATGTTATGTCCAGTATCTCTATTTCATACCCAGCCCCACTTAAAAAAAAATACAAGTAATATTCATCCTTGGGTCTATAATGAATAGCAAAATTTTTATGTGGCTCTATAGTTGGAATGGTAAACAAAAGTCAAGCCAGGAAATAATAATTTATGTTTCCTATTACAGTTTCAACTTGTCTTCCTAGTGGGCATGGATGCACCCAATGTGGACTTCCTATCTAGACTCTTACATTTGTTAAAATGAAAAACAAATACCTCTGGCCAGGTGGATCAGTTGGTTGTAGTGTCATCCTGTACACAAAAAAGTCATGGGTTCAATTTCAGTCAGGACATATACCTAGGTTGCAGGTTTGATCACTGGGTTGGGTGCATATGGGAGGCAAGCAATTGATGTTTCTTTTTTACATTGATGTTTCTCTCTCTTTCTAAAAATCAGTAAACCTTGGATAAGGATGAGAGAGAGAGAGAGACTGATAATTTAGGACACCAGTGAACAGACAACAAATGCAACAGACAAGCCAAAAACTGTTTACACCTCTCCTTGGATTAAGTGATATAAAAAAAAAAAAAAGCAGCAGCAGCAGCAAACAGACCAACCTTGAAGCTTTCCTGAGACAAAACTAGTTCAGTCATTAATTTAGCTTAATTACCAATCACTGCAAAGACACTACTTTTTCACTGTAAAAGCTGCTTTGTAACGGTAAACCCCTGAATCTCATTCCATGCTTTGGTTTGAGTGCTCCCAGTTTACAAACTGTCTTTGTGGCATGTGCACAGTAAATTTTTACCAATGATTACTTCACTGACTCTTTGGTTTTACTTTGGCTATTTCTGAACCTTTGACACATTCCACTGATTCACTCAGGAAATCACTACTAAAATGTCTGCAATTACCCTACTACTTACCTTGATATTATAAACATTAATCAGTCAGGGAGGGGAAATTTATAAAGATGTACAAGCTTCTTGGTAACACACCTGTATAAATACAAAATACTGTTTTGTTACTGGTAACTACAATGTTACAATTCAATACAAAAAGTGCTAGGCAATTCTATCTTACTGGAAATGGGACATTTTCATTCTGAATTTAACAATAAGTTTACTTCAAATATCTTAGTTAACAAAAGTTAAAAAAAATCTTTGATCTTTAAAATAGTCTATTTCCTCTTTAATAATTCCTACCCTTTATTGAGCACTATGTTGAGCACAATCTACTAAATGCTTTACAATCACTAGTCATTTGAACCCAGATTTAACGCCTGACTGTTAAAGCCTGTGCTCTTAAACAGTGTACTGCCACTTCACAAACATGATTTCAAAAGTCATACTGCCTTGAGAATGGAAGGATTCAGTGAGGTAAAACTAGGGCAAAGAATCAGATAGTAATGAAGAGAATAAAAAGTACATTGCTGACACCAACATGGGTTGCATACTAATTTCACCTTGCATATTAAATCTATATGAGCCTATAGTAATTTTGGGGCCTTTTAAAACTCAAGAGACTGGGGACAACGCTTTTTTTTCCCCCTGTTACACAAAAGTTACACAGAATTTTGTTAATTTTTTGTTCACATTGAACAACTTAAATTGACTATCTTAACAGTATCTATGAATATATATATGACACAATCTTTTTTGGAGAAAACACAAAATCTAAAAGGCCATTCCTGAATGTGATAGCCCAGGCCATATGGCTCTTTTGGCACTCGCGATTACACCTTAGGTCACAGGGAATGTTCACAAATGTGCTAAATCTGTCACAAGGTTTTTGGGGAGGCTATTAAGTCTTAGTGACAACCTTTCACCATCTTCACACCCTCTCCAGGGCTGGCGCCTTTCCCTCCACAGCCAGTTTTACTTTGAGGCGGGTATATAGACCTAAAAGTGAAAGCAGTAGACATCTGGGCTTTGCCCCTGGCTCACACAAAAACCAAAACAAATCTCAGGGGCTGTGGCCTACAGCTCCAGCCTCTTCTGTGACTAGACAGGCCACTTTTTCCCAAACTGAAGTATCCGGAAATAGGGCCTGCCTCTGAAAGCACCGCCAGCCAGGAGTATAAGGGCAGGCACTCTTTTTGGAGGCTAAGAAGGGAAAGGAATTTTTCCCAAGCCCACGTTTATCACAAACACTTGACTGAGACCCGTCCCCTGGAATCCCTCGTCGCGACCTGCTGGGAGACTTCGCGGACACACAGGCCAATGCACACCCGGTCGGGAGGGGGGTGGAGTAAGCGAAAAGGGCCAACGTGGGACTCAGGCTTGGGAACCCAGGAAATTAAGGCCGCGCAGAGATAACTACTGGAAAAACCAAAGAGCAGGGAAGATGCCCGCCCCGCGCTTCCCCACGCCGCGCTCTGGCTGGGCGGTCATCCCTGCAAGAAGCTCTGATTGGACATCCGAGCTCTGCGCGCTGATTGGTCGCGTGGGCGAGGCGGAGGAGAGCCGTGCGCAGCGGCGTGTGTGGGGCCGTGTGCAGACCCGCGTGTGGCGCAGGCAAGGACACTCCTGAAAATAAACAGCCGCTGCCGTGGGAGCCGCTTACTTCGGCCTGCGTCGTAGTCTCCGCCGCTGCGGGCCGGCTCAGACGCCGAAGGTGAGAATCGAGAGTGGGGGCTGGGGCTGGGGATAATCGCCCTGCGGGCCCGAGTCTGAAGCGGAAGAAGAGGGTAGGGAGTGGTGAGGCGGCGATGGCGGCCGCACTTTGGCCCTTTCCGCTCTGCTGCGTCAGGCGGGAAACTTGGCTGCCACCGCCACCTCGGGGCCCGGTTTCTGGCGTCCTGCAGTCGGGCGACCCTCCCACCCTTCTTTCCGTCCTGGGAAGCTGGGCCCACTCGCGTTTGTGGTCTCTCCCAGTGCCAAGGCCTCATTCCGAGCCATAGCCTTCCAGCAAATGAGGCCCTGGCTCGGACGCCCTGAGGACTGAGGCTCTGAGACTTCGACGGACTCAGAATGCTGGGCGGAGGGGGTTTTGGCGGGAACTTAGTAAAAGGAGGCCGTCTGGTGGGAAAAAGCCCTTGGTGTGGATGCGGGGGTGGAGGGGGATGGGATTGGATACAGGCCATGTGCTGGGGTAGTGGGTCTGGCGGGCCATGTGCCAAAGGTTTTCCTGGACTTAGAAAAGGGTCCTGGGAGAAGTTTTTGCTTTTAGAGTGGTGGAACACCCCTCTGGAAGTCCTGAGAGCTTTTGGAATTCATACTCTCTATACTTGACAGCTTCCCAGTTCTTGAATCTTTAACGTCCGTTGCAATTCGAAAAGCTGCAGCTGAGGCCCGCTTTCCGGGAATCAACACTATTTTAAGTTAGAGGGACCTTTAAAAAATCCCATTATCAGGGGAAAAAACCACATGAATTTGTCAAGTCTCCATAATCATATCACATCGTTCATTAGATTAACTAAACGAATACTATTGATTCTAAAAGTGAATCGAAAAGTAACACGATGGTTAATTAGCCAGCCTCCGCCTAGATTTTCCCAATATGAAAGCCTGCTTTGGAAAGGCATCATCGCTCACATTTGGTTTTGTGTGTTAATTTTATTATGGGTAAGGATTTTGCTCTTTGCCACATGTTAACCACATGGTGTCAGACCCTTCCAAGGAAGTGACATCTGGTCTTCGGGGGCCTTAGAAAAAGAAAACATTGCTCATTGTGATTTCAGATAATGTGTAAAAGGCTGATTTCGTTTTTTGTTTCTTATAAGGTGAAGGAGGATTCATTTATGTCGTCTTGCCCCCAAATTCCAAGTTTTTAAAAATAGGTTCTCTTTGTTTTCTGTTGTATGGCCCAGTTTTAGAAACAGCACCATAACCAATTAATTTATGCATCACTGAGAATCTTAAATTAACCACTTTCTCTTTTGCTTAAGCACCATAATCGCAAATTAGAATTTGAGGTCTTTAATAAGATGAATGAAATGAAGTTCCTACCTCTTAGGCTTTTTTCCTCACCCTGCAAAGCAATTACTTTCAAATGCTAACAAATCACACCGGTCATGGCTTAATCAAACACCTCCAAGTGTCACATATGGAGGTGCCTGTTATTTTTAGCTTGTTGAGCCTTATTCTTCTCTACAAAAAGCTCTCTGTGTGCTGGAATATAACGAATAATTTATTAGATTCCCAAGAACTGAACAAAGAAATATTTTTCCAAATTGCAACTCTTGGCAACAGAATTAAAAGAAGAAGAAGAAAGCTAACAAGCTAACAGTATATGTGTACTTATGTCACATTAGAAAACTTGGGTAAGTTTTGTTTGCAACCAAAGGTCCACATTTCTTTTCATATTCATAATAAGAGGGGTGATATGTTTCCTTGTTATTTTTTGAGGGTGATGTTTCAAGCATGCGGCCTCAAATATTTGAGCCAAATCAGTGGAAGACCAAGGGTCAAATATTTTGAGGCACGTCAAGCCTTTGAACATCTGGGGCAGGTAGAGTGATCTTTTTAAAGATATTATAAGTGAGTTTTGTAGTATGACGTTATGACTGTTTGGATTTTTTCTTTTAAAATCTAATAAAAATACATGGTATATGTATGGGAACATGCCAAATCAGTGCTCACAAGCAGTAGAGCCACAATTTGACTTCAGGCATACCTCATTTTATTGCACTTCACTTTATTGCAGCACGTGTTGCATTTTTTATAAATCAAAGGCTGGATCTTCTATCAGCAAAAAGATTAAAACTTTACTGCGAACCAAACCCACAATATCTCTGACATGTACCTTTAATTGGAAAGATTGGTCTGTTAACTAAACACTTGACCACAGGAGAGATTTTGCTCTTCTGTTTTTTTCCCCTGCAGGAATGTGAGTTGTTTTTGTGTTGTGTTTGTTGGTGTGTGTGTGGGTGTGTGTGTGTGTGTGTGTGTTTGTGTTTAAGAATTTTGGCTTTCCTCTTCCTAGCCTCCTGACAGTAAGTGGAGAGCCAGGAGACTGATACCAAAGCCTTCTGGCCTGCTGTATGGAGAACGCTCTTTTGGTACTGTCTCACTTAATAGAACTCCTATTCTGATAGTGTCAGATGCTGTTGCAGTTAAGGGTGTGCCACTGAGAGATTCCAGTAAAACTGCACCATTTTCATGTTGTATGTAAAAAGCTGCTGGAATAATGAAATGAGAGCTGTGGCCACCAGAATTCAAGTTGTAACTCAATTAGTTATTAATCAGTAGTATGAGAGTATAGTACAGTGATTTCCTGGAGTGGTTCCAGAATTACAAATAAGAGTATTAACTAATGAAGTCAGATGCCAGTCTTTCTGTCTCTGGTGGCACTCTTAACTTACACCTTGAGAAAAGTTAAGAAGAATATCTGCCTTGGCTTAAAATTCAAGAGAGCTGTGGGATAGCATGCTGTGAATAAATTCATTCGTGGCTGTGGATTTTTAAATATATAGAGTTTTAGAATATATTTGAAATGTAGAGAACTTTTTGAAACAAGTTATTTTTTTTAAAGATTTTATTTATTTATTTTTAGAGAGGGAAGGGGGGGAGAGAGACATCAATATGCGGTTGCTGGGGGTTATGGCCTGCACCCCAGGCATGTACCCTGGCTGGGAATCGAACCTGGGACACTTTGGTTCCCAGCCCGCGCTCAATCCACTGAGCTACGCCAGCCAGGGCTTGGAACAAGTTATTTCTGAAAAATATATTTGAAAACATAACTTTTTTCATTAAAATTCAGATTAGCGTGTACTTCATACAATTATTTGCTTTATAGTAGTAACATTCTGTATAATATTTTTGAATTAGGGAGTGAATTGGTATACTCTTCTAATAATAGCATTTTCGTATACTTTATTATCCCTTAGCCCTAACAAAAGCCTCTACGGTTGAAATCCTGACTTTAGAACTTTCTAGTTACATGGCTTTAGGTAAGTCATTTGGTCTCAGATCCCCACTTTATGAGTAAAATGGGAGCAAGAATCCATAACTTGCAGGCTTTTAAGGACTATAGATATGTTGATTAACCCTTGACTCATTGTAGATGAGCTATTAATTGAAACCCTTGGGGGTAACCAGGGCTGGCAGAAATGTCTGTAAATAATAAGTAAGGTCATGTGGTAAATGCAGGAACCAGTATGAAAACATAGAATTGCTCCCAGTATTGTACTCTATTCTCCATTATTCTGGCCAGAATGCAAGTAATACATAATGTAATTTCCTCCAGTCTTTCTGTAGTTTGTTTTTGTTAACAGTCTGAAGTGTTTCAGTACCCTGTTGGAACCTACACTGATTTATTAGAGCAAGCATAAAAATGAGTGAGTGCTTTCATGGGAGCAAAAGCTCCGTGTAGGTCAACAAAGTGGATGAGTCCAGGATAACCCTAAACTTGGTGAAAATAACTAGACATAGAGCAAATGTGAGTATATACAGCAGTGTTAGGGAAATTGTATAAAAAAATTAGAGCTAGCTAGATCCCCACACACACACAACTTTCCTTTTGCTACTTATTTTAAATGTATTTGTGGGGTGACTTGTATTCTTTTATTAACTGGATCTCATTGTTAGTCTTGGCCATGTACTGTTAAGATTTAAGTAGTTTACTGGCTTTGCTCTTAGTATCAAAAATGTGGTATAACTACTGACATTAATGGAAATAAACTAGTGTAAGCAGTTGTGTTTTGGTACCAATTCCAGGATTTAAACCTTAAAGCCTAGAGGAGTGCAAAATCTGTAAAACAGACCTCTTAGTTTACAGTATACTTTATGGCCCCACACAGTGAAAAGATCTTCAATCTTTTCAAGCAATAGCTTGACCGAGTGTACAGCTGCTGCCTGGTTGCCCTGTGCTCTGACCATATCTTTAGGTGTGGTTTATGTCATTAAAATCTGATACAAAAACCTAAATGGAAAGAGATAATTTGATTTCTGTTGAAAATGTGAAGTCATTTAGAATTCAACTGTTTCTTCTCAACTGTTTCTTGTTTCTTCTCTTCAGGAAGTAGACTTTATGAAATGGGGAAACTTGAGTATAATAGTTAGCCCACTTAAGCCTGCTATGTAGACATTAATCTGGGTTCTGTTTACTTTTAAGCAGTCTGACTTAATTGAGGGGAGAATGGAAAAGAAACTATGTAAGCAGAGGACATAAACCCTTGCAGTTTTTTTAGTTGAGTATCTGTTAAGCACGAGGTGCCTGGGAACAATTCTCATCAAAGATAGTTTTACCATCTTCCTTTTACAAATTAAGGACAGGTGGGGGGGTCAAGTGCCTGAGGTAACACAGTAAATCCTTAAGCTGGGTCAAATGGTTAACCT